TATCTTCCATATAACATATACGTAGCAATTTAATTAAGTCTTGGTCAATCCCCCTTTAAGTTCACGAACATTAAATATCATCATATAACAATAACTTTTATCTATGTTATAGATTAAACTGCAACTTAAGGAAACGCAAATTAAGCGCCCTTTATTTACACGAACTTCGTAAAACGTGAACAATTCAATATTGACTGTTATAATTTTTTTAAATTAATAATGTCCAGTTTTATTTACAAAAGAATGTGTTCCAGTACTTTACATTATTATTCTATTAAATAACCAATACCAGAAAGAGTTATTATTGACAGAACAATTTATTAACATCTGCAGTAAATCATTCTGTTTTTCTTCTTAACCATAAAAACAAACAAATGTCCTTTAGCTCCGATTTCACTTTCTATGTTTTTATTATTTCTTTTATACTTTCAACAGTTGCCGGAAACATAAAAAATCCACGTCTGAACAAACTAATAGCCCTTTAAGCACTGTACATGCAAAAAGTCATATATGGTCCTAACATCGTTAATTGATTCTTACTTAATTGAAATTGGTAAAAACCGGTATTCTACTTAACGGTAATTTTAATACGGTAAACACTATTTCAAACAGTCGGCACATACAAAATATCATCTGTTATACATTTATAGCTAAGGTAAATGGTTTATAACAATGCAATAAATAATCAAACAAGGTGTTCCAAATGCCACTTGTTTTATCTAACAAGTGGATGACTATACAACCAATCGTTCCTTCATTCACAACTATACAGATTTTATTATTGATAGCATTACAAATGATACGGTGTGTTAAATATTAGATTTTGGGCAGACTGCTAAACAAAAGTATAAAAAATCAATTATCAATCGATTAATAGAATAAATAGTTTAAAATTTCAATATTTAACTTTAAAGTCAAAACAATCCCGTGTATGCTGTTTAAGTTATTACGATTTAAATAAAACCATAATTTTTCAATTAGATCTACATAAATATAAAATGAAATGTGTTTAACTCAAGAATGAAAACATTTAAGTCTGAAAAGCGGTGAAAATTACACACTTTAAACATTCAAACACACACAAAAATGATATCCACTTCCAAGATATTTGCTAACATAACCTTTAACATGAAGTCATTAATTCAGGCATTAGAGAAAAATAACATCGCAATATTTGTAATCTGACGATCGCATATTTACAAATTGTAAATCATCAAACCCCGTGAAGAGTCAGTGGTATATTTATGTTGTAAATGAAAGGGAAAATTAATGAAATGGTTTTATTTCTGAATGACAATTTGAATATTATGAGTTCAGTGGTGTATACAATGTCATAAATAGATGGAATAATGGCAGAACAAAAGCCAAGTTCAATAGTTAACATTATATTACCTCATTGAATAGAATAGCATTTATAGAACTTTAATCGTGATCATGAATGTGTTCCCTAAATGTTTTGATCTTAATCTCTTGACAGTAAACTTGTTTATTTCGTTTATTTCTTAAGCTTAAACACGATGCAAACAACGCTTCAGACATGTAGAATTCGTTTTAAACTGGATTTTTTAAAGATGGCAATGTTTACAGTTACATGATACATTAAATATCGGTAAACATCGTCTGTTTTTATCCTGTAGTAACCTGATAACTCGGTATATATAGATGTCGCTACTGAAACTGATTTACGCGACCCTTATAATAAATCTAGATACGGCAATGCCTTGCGACCTGACTGTCAAATTCCGGTAAAGTGCATTCAAAAAAGAAAGGGTACATTAAGGAAATATATATCAATTTTGAGTACATTGTTGTAGAAAAATGCACGGTTCGAGTTTAATTGCGTAGGAATATAATCACTTAGCAAACATTTGAACGATAAACAGTGCATTATTATATTGTAATGTAAAAATGTTAATATCTATTCCAATTCTATTATGCTATTAAAAATTTATATTCAACTACGAGGGGTGTTCAAATATTAATGCAACTGGGTACTTAACTAACAGTGTCAAAATAATAATCTCAATCCTTCAAAATTCTCACCACCATGTGATATACAAAGTTTAAGTGTTTTAATCCATCTTTTAAATGCGTTTTCATAATCTTTTCGAGGTATACTGCTCAGACACTGGAACATAGCCGAACCGAGATTATTTCGTGTTTTATGTTGTTTTTTTTTTTCATCAAGGTGTTTTTTGAGTCTCGCAAAAAGGAAAAAGTCACAAGGGGCAAGATCTTGCGAATAAGGAAGGTGAGGAAGCTCGACAACCTTTTCCTGTTTCAGATATTCTCGTATAATGGCCGCTTTGTGTGACGAAGCATTGTCATGCAACAACCTGACACCACGGGTACCAGTTGCCGGTCGACGTTGTTTTTTTTTAAAATATTTCTTCAATTTGAAAGACCTTGCCTTTGTAAAACTTGGCATTTACAGATTAGCAGGACCCTGATTGGTAAAGAAAATTATATGCATGACCTTTTTGACGCTCATGGTGCGTTTTGCTATGCAAGGTCTTTGACTTTCTTTTGTTGCCCCTATATTGTTATGTTTCTTTCGCTTTGGCTCATAAAAACGAACCCACGTCTCATCGCCAGTGAGGATATTTGCAAAAGATCGATTCTTGTATTTAGGGAACTGTTTCCACAATTGATTGAAGATTCTTACCCAAGCATGTTTTTGCTCTTTTGTAAGGAGATGGGGTATCCATCTGGCACTTATCCTTCTCATTTTTAAATCACGGCTGAGAATTGTATATGCATCAGTAGCAATCAAATCCTGTACTTTTCAACTATATTTGGTCAAGTTGCAGTTTTCGGACGGCGGCGTGCATAAGGTGCGTCACATCACTTTCTTACACCACCGTGTGACAGATGAAAAAGAAAGTTCATTGTTTCCTATAAACACGACATTATTCATTAAGTAATAGTTATAGTATATGAAACGGGTAAGTTACGAGGATATGACACTGGCTGGGGGGACATCACGGGGTGTTTCTGCTAAAAATTAGGCCGATACAATTTTTTGCAGAAACATCCCGAGATGTCGCCCAGCCAGTGTTATATCCTCGTAACTAACTAGTTTTATATACTATAACTGTTTTATCGCAATGCCATAATGTTTTCTTTTTTTATTAGAAATAAATAAATAAATAAATTGTTAGCTACATTACAGTTATTTATGATAAGGCAGTTTTCAAACCATGCGATAAATATGTTTTTCGCCTGTATTGTATCAATTGAGAGCTTACACAACCATCTAAGCAATACATGTACATAGTTCGTTCAAAACATGGTAAATATAGATATTGGCCTAGTTGCATTCATATTTGAACACCCCTCGTACATTGTGTGTAAAAGTAATTGTCCTGTCGTCATTTGGTTTATTGACGTCATATCTGACGTCATATGGCCTGTAAGCATTCATTTTTTTCAGCTGTGCATATATATATGGTATATATATATATATATATCGTGCGATAATGCACTTGATTCCTTAAAGGGGAATAGTGTGTCGCGTGTTTGATATATTCACTTGCATATCAGACAGGATTATCTTCTCTTTACACTGCTGATATACACACCATATGCAAGACCATTTGCTTACCTTCAATGATGTAATCCCTGCGCGCCTTTGTTTAATTAATTGCGATCTTATGGCAACGCCATTTTCATGATTTTGCCTTTATAAATGAAGTTATAAAGTCATACATTACTATAAGAAAATAAGAGCTAAACGAAAATATCAGTTTTCATAATTTCTTTTCGAAAAATAACTAGCATGTAATATGCAAGAAAAAAGAATTATTTAAACACCGACTGTCGGCACAGACGGGAATATCTAGCTCTCGGGTAACTGTGCAGAGCTTCCTTACCGCAGAGGTGCTCGTCCAGTCTTAGTGCCCATATAAAAAAATTAAAATAAAAAACTATTCTGGATGCTGGGATGAGTGAAAGAAAATAAAATGAAAAATAAAATTGAAAAGTTTTGTTTAATTTTTTTCCTATATACCATTTAATTTACTACGAAAAGGTCACCTAGTCGCCGTAACGCTATGGAGCTTTACTGTGACACGTTGCGGAACAACCACAATGTCGAGTTTTGTAACAATGCAGGCTACTTTGCTAGTCTTTACACATCGTGCATTTAGAAAATTGTTAACATTCTTATTCTACCTTATAAACAATCTTACATGACTTACATTTAAACTCTGACACTCCAATTTGTTAAAATCTTGGAAAATTCCGTTGATGGTCGGCCATTTTGTCGAAAACGAAAGTACAAAACCTACATTGTACTGTTCCGCTCTCCTGGTTTCCTACGACTACGTTCGCAGAACAGTAGACAACGGTAACCATCAATTTATTGGTTACTGTTGTCTATTGTTCAGCGAACGTAGTCATAGGGGACCAGGACAGCGGAACAATACGGTGTATGTTTTGTACTTTGTTTTCGACAAAATGTCCGATAATCACTGTTGTTTTGAGTTTGAGTGTCCGAGTTTAAATGTAGGTTATTTAAGATTGTATGTAAGGTAGAAGAAGAATGTTAACAATTTTCTAAATGCATGATGTGTAAAGAGTAGCAAAATAGCTTGTATTGTTACAAAACTCGACATTGTGGTTGTTCCACAGCGTGTCCTAGTAAAGCTCCATAGCGTCAGATCTTACCGCTTGTGACTTTTACCTTGGAGTTAAATATTACGGTCTGTACCGGCAGCTGGTGATAAAGCATAACATCTAATTTAAGTAACAGTAGTACACATGTAAATGACTATTGATCAGTGACGAGTATAAAGAAAAAGATATCAATTTTGAGTGCATTGTGTAGAATAATGTACAGTTCGAGTTCAAATGCGCAGGAATATAATCACGGACGGTAGGCCTGAGTGATTAATTAGAAACGATTTGAATGATTAAACTACAATGCAAGAAACAATAATATGTATTTCCATTCTGACATGCAAATAAAATGGGAATCGATAAAAATGTATAGAACTTCATTGAACGGAGAATTAATTTGGTTTATTCAAAAAATGACGGCATACGACACGTAATCAGTGCATATATTGGCTATATAATGAAACTCGACTGTCCTGTCTCTTGAACATGAGAATAATGTGAAGCGTTTTAGAACTATATATATTAAATAACGTCGGGTATACAACACATGATAACACAAGCTCTTAAACTACACATGATAACATCATATATAGCACATACAGATAAATAAACAAACTATGTTAAATAAACAACAGATTAAGTCAACTAACCGGACAACACACAAACAATAGTTTATGATGAATGCAAACTATATCTAGTGTGAGAAACTCCCATTACTATAAGAACTAAATCGAAAAAAGTCATATTTCGAAACTTGCTTTTGTTGTTTATTTGCTAAGAAATGTTTCGTATTCTGCTCTTAAATGACTTGCCACGCTTCTAAGTTGGCTCATACTTTTCCCTTCCAGCATGTTCAAATTCGGATTAAAGTAGTCCGGAAGATGACCTTGAAGAAGTGCTAACTCCATTTCTTTCATGGTCTCCACAAGACATGTGTCACGATTACTCACGTGCCAGTATTCCTTGCTTGCATGTTTCTCACAGGACCAAAGTATTTGCGTCTAAAATTTGATGTATTTGAAATATTATAAATATGTCAGAATCATCAAAAATTCCCAATTAAGTCGGTTAATCATTTATTCTCTAATATTACCTTATGAAAATCGTGAACTGTTTCCTGTTGAAAAGTAATATTAAATAGTTTTTAAAAAATAAAGTGCACTGGTTTATGGATAACAAATTAATTTTTCATACCATACCTTCAAAATATGAGAAGATATTTCCGGAAGTCCGTCTAACGACTGTGATTTGCAAGTTTGGACATGTTTTTTCATCACTTTGTATATTTTTTTCCTACAACCATTGCCGGCATCAATGGACGACAGTAATGTCCTCTCGGCTTTAGAGTTAGAAATTGACCACATTTGATCCTTCTTCGGCACCAAGTGTGTTCCAGTTTTGATAGCCTCATCAATTAATTCTTTTTCCATAGCTTTTTGTCGCTGGCCGAGGCCATCCGTGGTCTGTGACGGAGATATCCGATTTTATAGATAGTGTGATATCTACGTTTATATCATGTTTTACGCCGCTATATCTATCCGGGTAAATTGTCAGTGTTAAAGCTGGACCATGTGCTTTGCTGCTTATATCTACATCTGAAAGTTTAGCAATTATTTTATTAATTATTTACGAATGACAGCATATGCATAATCAGGTGTGTTTTGTGTTGTTTTTTTTGTGTTTGATATTTGCTGCACAAAGCCACTTACTCACGGTGTCAAAGGTTAACGCATCATTTTTCCGCGTACCGTCGATAATTTATCAATTTGTGCGCAACACAGTATCATTCTTACGCAATCTTTTAAAAAGTGCAAGAGTTAAGTTCAGGAATGCGAAAATTTCTTACTAAAACAGATTTAATTTAGAGAGAATGCATACATCACGGAAGTTTTGAATGTTTCATCTATGTGTGCAAAACATTTTGGAACACTATTTGTCTATTATAACCTAAAACTAATTAAAACACTTTAACACATGTGAAACATTTGTGTTGTTGATGCGAACATTTTTCATCCTTTTCCGAAAGTAAAGTTGTCGGAAAATGTATCATATGTCAAAAGATCACATAAAGCATTGACACGAGCTGATCACGTACCAATTTTATACAAATAATGCAAAATAATGTTGTAAAATGAAGAAAACTTTTACTCTCACATTGGCTAATACAACGCACAAACAAGCCAAAGCTGATATTTCTAAAACAGCTGTCGGGGTTTGTGCTAACGCCTTGACAAGCGATGCCAGAATTCCGACGTTTCAGTCTAGAAGTCACGGGTTAGATTTCTAATTTTTCCAATGTATTGACTCAAATTCTTTGGTTTAAACAATATTTTATTTATAAACATTTCATTTACATGATAATTGATATATGCTAAATTATACATATTGAGTAGGAGTTTTTGGATTTAGTAGGAATCTTGAAAAGCTTTTTTAAGAAACTCTTTCCGTAAGCACTATCTCAAAGAGTATGTATAAAATGGTTACAATTATATATGAATATTTGTTTTACATATATTCATAACATTTTTAATATAAACTTGCTTCTTAACATGTGCAAGAAAGTTAGCAATTTGCATTCTATTTGTCGTAATCGAACCGATCTTAAGCAAAAAAGGCCCGAAGCGTGCATTATTCTACAACAATGCACTCGCCGTTCTTATATTTTCACATTGAAGGCGCCATTTTGTTTCAAAAATGTGATAAATAAAAACAATTTTTTGTCGAATTTTGTTGTGAAAACTATCTAGAATGAAAGAAAATGGTCTAACTAAGAAAAAGAATTCGAACACCAATATCTTTCATTCAGTCGTTAACGCTGTACAGACGTTTAAAGTATTGTTTACGTGACGTCACAATGTAGCACCAAACAGCACGTGCAAAACAATCAAATCAAGTACTTTATTTTAATGTCGCAGACGAGTTAAGTTTTACATTTATTTCACTTTTTATAATTTTTATTTCGCTTGAAAAAATATAGAGTGAAATAAAATAAACAAACAAATGAACACCAAAGAAAAAGTCCAACATTATAATAATAATTATAATTTTTTCTTGAAAAGTAGTCCGGCAAACATGTATACCACGTGATCAAGTGCCGTAGATCAGTAAAAATATACGGCACCTTGTTATCGGGCCGAAATTGATACAAGTGACAGGATAAACACTTTTATTAATACACTTACTTCAAAAGTGTGACTTTCAGTTCGTTTTCAATCATGCATGTGTGTTTATGTGTTTGTTTTGTCTAAAATGATACGGTGCTATACGCAGGATAATAAATTATCGACGGTACACGGAAAAATGATGCGTAAACCCTTGACACCGTGTTACTGATACTTAAAATTACGGACACTTACTGACAATTGTCGACAAATGAACTTTATCATAAATTAATGTTTTATGCGTAAGCTTTATGAATAACAATCTCTTGAACAATGTCATAAACATAATCATTAATCTAGTATTTTAAATGCAAAGAATAACAATTTATTAAATTACCAGTATTAACAGGATTTATGCTTATCAACAACTTAAATATTGTTATTATTAAGTTTCCAACACTTACTTGATAATGATAGATCTTTCTTTGCAGTTTCAATTTTATTGAAAAGGTCTTGCTTGATTTTACATGGAATGATATAATTGTCATGGAGAAGGGTGTTTGGAACACTTCCTTTTTCTACCTTTACTGTTGCAAATCCCTCTGGAATGATTTTGGTTTCCAAACATAAGTCACGTTTCACTTTCAAACTTGCCTATATAAAGATGTAAAGACATTTGTATTGAGTAACTTATAAATATTATAATCAGCGTTGTTCAATTAAAGTTAAGTAATAGAAAGATCTACATTAGATGAACGAAAGAATTTTATAAGAACCGAAAATTAAAATTTCACTTACAAAAAAATTAAGAACAGAATATTTCGTTTTTGTATATCTACATACGGATAATTTCTCGAATATATGCATATTACTTAGATTGAAAAGAAGTAAAAATGATGTTACTGTGTCGTCATTGGTAACATAGCCAAAGTTCACCGTTCCGTGTTGTCGTATGTCTTTAGGAATAACGTTCAGCTCAATATTTGTATCAAATTCATCGGCTTTACCAATTTTAGCATTAATGGGAACGCTACCAGCTTTGATCACATTCGGGTTAAACATTGTGCCTCCTCGCTGATCTCTTACATTGGACATTAACTTGTTCAGTGTAGTATCTACTATATTTCTTGACATAGTCATGTCACTTTTATCTACTTTTACATTTCTCTCATAGAAATCATCAAAGTATTGTTTTCTTGGTGTAGTATCTTCTCTATCTCTTGAATCAGTCATGTCCCTTTGATTTACTGTTATATATCCCTGGTTTGAATCACGCCTGACTCGTTCTCTTGCTCCAATACTCTGTGCGAGGTGTCCCAAACTCTTTTGATGTTGCTGTAAGCTATTATATTTTGCAAATCTTCTGACACAAGTATGGCATGCATGCTCGCCACTACCTGACTTGTTTCTTCTTAGTCTGTGCCTTTTTGGTTTCGTCCGCTCAGCAGGTTCTTCAATAGTGTAATCTTCAGGACAACCATGCTCAAACGATCGTAAATGATGTTGTTTGTCCAGCTCAGAATGGAAAGACAAGCAGCAATCAGGGCACCGATAAAATTTAGCATTTTTAACCATATCTTCTCTATGTTGCTCCATCTCTTTTTCAAAAACAAACATGCGCCTGCACCAGCACCGAACAGTCCCGTGTTTTTGTTTTCTATGTGATTTAAGTCGGTTGCGAGTTGAAAACGAACCATTGCATATATCGCATTCATACATGGTCGTGATTCACTATCTAAAATTACAAATACTTCTTTATCAGCGACAAAGCTACCTGGCTGACCGATAAAGTATGATAGACTATTTAATGATGCAGATTGTTTATATCTCATGTCCTTTTAAGTGTGGACAAAACAAACTACATGTATGTAGTCACGGTACAGTGTTTCAAAAAGACAATGATAGCAATATTTGCCCTGACTAAATAAATGGCATTTAGATCTAGTTTAAAATAAACAATGCAGATAGAATCACGTACCGTCCGTACTGGAAAGATAAATTATTGGTCAAAGGTGAATCAAGAAAAGCAGGATGAAAGCACCAATATTTGTGCAGTAGGAAAACCGCTACTTTATGTTTGAAATCTAGAACAGTTTATTGTGAATTATTCCCTGCGGTCTGGAGACCGCAGGGTATTGGTACGCGTTTAACTTTTGAGGCATGGAGGAGCACGTGACCTGTTTTCGGTACATGGAGGAGCATGTGATCTGTAAACCGTACATGATTGGTTAATTGACCTTTTCGAAAACCTAGCTAAATACCGTTTGCCGGTACGTTACGGATTTAAGTCCGAATTACAGCTTATCAAGAACAAAAAACTATTACGTGATATTTCTAATTTTCTATAATTATTTTACCGTTTAAGGTGGAAAAATTTGAATGATGTGTTTGAAAATTATCAATATTTCTTTAATATCTATCTCAAATTTTACAAACAATGAATTGTTTATACTGAAAATTTACAGAATTAAAATATTCGTAGGGGCATCTGCCATAATAAATAGAGATATTTTCTGCGTAAACTTGTGTGTTTACGTTATTTATTTTTTGCTCGGAATTATTCATAAAATGGTAGGCCTATTTAATCATTTTCTTAAAAAGAAATAATTGTTTTATGTTCGACCTTCTCCGGTCTTCAACGGTCACCAGTTTCCAAAGACCTTCTTCTATATTGATCGTTTATTCAATTGTCAACTATATTCCTGATACAAACGTTTATTTATTCCCCCCCCCCCCACCAAAAAAAAAAAAAAAAAAATGAAAATAGTTTAATGAAATATCTTTATATCATTAAAATGTTCACCGCAGGAAACCATTTTACTTGTAATAACATGACTAAACAGTCAGTCTGAAGTCGAGGTGCAACGGTATGGCGATATACTGCTATTGTAAACTGCAGATTGAAATATGTCATACAATCTGATCACAAAGTCTGTGACTATGTTTATTTGTTTGAGTTCTTAACATAACTATTTTATGAGTTGATATGAAAGTTTTTTCGTAGTTTATTGAGCTTTTTAAATTTCTGAAATAAAAAAGTTGCCTAGTTGCATTACACATGTACTTCCTCCACTAGTAAAACCGGAAACTCGCCATATGACTTCTTCTGTGTTGGCGCGACGTAAAACCATATAAAAACAATAACAACACAATCTTTAATTGTCAAGTTTCGCAAAATATAATATATATAAAAAAAGATTTTTTATCAATCATGTTTCATTGAAATTCGAATCCACAACCTTCAATTTGAAACTGAAAGTCTTAACACCTTGTCAAGGGGGTTACTAAATGTGCAAATTTCTCCGCAATACTTTCAGTTATTACTGCCATCCTGAAATCATATCTAAATTTTTACCGGGTCCTTTATGGGCGTGGTATAAATTACACCAAAAAGGGGCGGAGGTTATAGTTCACATATTAGAATTATATGCAAATTAAGTGCAGCGGTCGCTAACGCTCTCTTGCACCTAATTTGTATATAATTTTAATATATGAACTATAACCTATACATCTATTTAAATACGTAATTTATCCAAACCAAATATTGAACTACAATGTACATGCATACGATAGTGTTTCTATTTCTAAAATAAACAAATAAACATAAACATTATTACAATTGTACACATTTATTTTTTTTAAACAATTAAATATTTATTAAAAAAGTAAGATCATTGTTCCTTACCTAGTTTATTTTTTTGTTTGATCCCTTGTTCCGTAATAGTGTACTTCTTACACCGGACCAGGTTATACCGAAAATATAAGATAATATTGGGTGTACTCTGAACTTTTGTATACATGTATTGTGTTTTTGCGTCTAGATAATTGACTCAACACTCTCCTCGAGCTTATCAACTTTATTTGATTGCAATAAAGTGTCTGCATGTTTACAGTACAAATATTGACACATCAAGAGAAGTAACTAGACATACTTTGTTTGACAATTCTTAACATGGTTGTTGTTCGCAAAAGAAAAACTGAAAAAATTCTGGTGATCTCTTAGCAACAATAGGTTTTTGAATAATAAGTTATATAAGCTTTATTTCTTGAATTACCACAGATTGATATTTGTTGATGCATATTTTCTTAACAAAAAAAAATAAATATTATAAACATACGTATAAGTTCTCTGCCCTTGAAATGATCTCAAATAAGTGAAACCTTCTGATTCAAGGACAGATAAGTCTGAAGTAAGAACGGCGACCCCCGAATTTGTTTCCCTTAAAATGTTTCTATCATTAAATTCTAACAACATGCTAAGTTTAAAGAAAGTCTATATGAAAACTCCCGAAAACGTCAATATTATAAACTTTAATTGGCAGAAATGATCAAAATGATAGACAGTTATAATTTCCAAGGCAAAGAGATTTAAAGGAAAGTCAAAATGAATGTTTAAATGGACGTTACTATTAATGTTTATGTATTCCATATTGCATGTAACCATTGCCAACAGTATGACACTAGTGTTGAATTACGTGTATGTTGAAATGAAGTGCAAAAATGATTTATAGAAATGGTACCTCTCTACAATTTACACGGTATTCATTACATTAAACCTGCTAAATTGCTAAATGGATTTTGTACATCTTCAAATTTAGCCAGGTCAAACTGTATCGCACGGGTGTACATGCTTGCTAGTCTCTTTACTGGCGTCAAGGGGTGGTCACTTTCTGTTCCGGCAGGAAAAGTGTTGAATGTTTCTATAATGTAATGTTTAGTTTCCACTGGTTACCAATATATTCCCTATTTCATTCCTCACGAAAACAGCAGTTCTATTATATTTGAATATATGTTTGTAAAAGAAAAAGTTACAATATATGCTAGCATAGTGTAATAATTAGTTTGACTTAACAAATAAACTGATTTTATATTCCAGTAAACATTGTATGATTTTAGTCCTCTTGAATTAATATGGCTTTGAAGGAGTTCCATCCATGATCTTGATTTAAGCTTGTTGCCGTCCCGGCTTCCCTTGCTACCCAGACAGTATCGTCTTGCTGTAGATGTAAGTTTAACGCTTCTGAACCACACGAATGGTAATTATGGTCTCCAGAAAACACTCGTCCAACAACTGCTCCGTCTTTTACAATATTTAAATCAATCCATTGGTTAGACACACCGAGGCAAACTTGAACGTGTATAAGATATAATCCAGGTACTGGAGCTACGAACAGACCATTTTTCAAATCGTATGCGCCTCCTGTGTTATATATCTCCACGTCATATTTGACTATTTCTGTACCACTCAATGGTGTTGTTTTTGCAAGACGCACATGAACCGACACATTTGTTGTCTTCTTCCTTGTTTTCTCTAGATCTGCTATTCGTTGTTGTAACTTTGCATATTCTGTCTCAAGTGTGATAAGTTTCTCTAAAAGTTTATACTCGTACACAAATCTTGAACAGTCTCCTTCTTGTCTTGGCTCCAAGATCTTCTCGCTAAGACGGCCTCTCGAATAGCGCAATGTTACAACTAACAATGCTAACACTACGTACAGTTTCATATTTTCTTTGTCAACTTGCTTGAATTTCCCAAATGATTTTAGCAACTAAGCTTATAAGCAAATTTAGTTATAGTTTCAGAGTAAATGAATATGTTAATTAGATTTACAAATTGATTAAATTAATTGCTGGTAATTTGTTATCAATGCAACAACCTGATACGAATGCCATTTTATTAAAGATAAAGACCGCCGATGTAGCCCAATATGAATTAATTTACGAATGATTACAATTGCAACAATTACAATTGAGGTATATTTGTTAAAAAAAGTTATTTGTAACAGATTTACTTACAGGTCCGCCTGGGCTCCTTGCCACTGGTTCTTGTTGCTGGGTCGAATTGGGGTTGCGTTCATTGAACGCCGCCTTTCCTTGTTGATCTTGTTTATCATATTTTAACGTTGATTTGTTTTCTTTTTATAAAATAAATGTAAGGCATTCATATTTAAATCTTTTATTTGACAAACACGTGTTTTTTATTCAATGTGTTTGTTATAGTTCATGATCAAAGCGTTGTGTCTGTCTCCCTTTTAGCTAGTGACCTCCATCTAATAGTTTATACTACTGTACTACTCTACTACAATCATAATACTGTTCTGTTAAATGATGTTTAAGTTGCTATTTGAATATTGTATTGTGAGATAATGTATTATTCATTTTACAAATACGGAATCTGCCTGGCATCTGAACACAAAATAATAATTGAAAATCAACCTATATCTGTATACAAAGACATTACAAAAAGCAATTGACATATCAACTAATGTGTATGCTATGAACACAACAAAACAACCTTTATACTTTTGCATCTGATAACTGTTTAAGATGCCTCCAGATGAGCCAAATATTTCATGAAAATCACACTTGATAAAAATGTACAAAGGTTTAAAAAAAGTAGAAATATTCAAGATTCAAGAAATCATTTACATGTTATGTGCAATTAAAGACCGGTGTTTTAGTATTTGCATATTATGACCTCTTTCTGGTAACTTACGTGGATTGTAAATGCCGTTAAAATGTGTAAATTACTGTTTTGTTCACTTCACATTCACATTATTAAGTACATTTTAAACATTTGAATGGAAATCAACATGAATCTGGAGGCATGCTGCTTTAAATATAAAACGAACATTGCGGTCACATAAATTGCTGTAAAGAAGCTACTATTATGATGACATGCATATGAAACAAGCGCCCTATGCTGCCGGCGCTATTAATGCACCCTTTATCAGACGGTACTTTCGTTGATGCAAATGGCGACGTTGATGTAGATGATGTCGATGCAGAAGAAGTCTCCGATGAATTGATAAACCTTATCCTACCCTCAGTATCGGCAAATACGGGGTTATGTTTTGTGAGATAGGTTTTAAACACGTCGGAATCCAGAGAATCTGTGTAGAAATAAAGGCATATTTTTATTTTTAAAAAAGAAACAAATTAAGATACATGTATATGACAATCTATGAAAGTTTAAGATTTCAAAGTTATTCATCAGCATATCTATATGACATAAAAAGATATGAAATGAATTTTAATAAATTTTGTCTTGTTTACTTACTTGTTTGTATATGGTCTAGGTTTCCATCACGAATCATTGTAAACCCGTCTCCGCCTTTGATGGTAAAGTCATTCAGTAATACATTGTAAACTAAATCATTGTTAACCGGCTCATAAATGGGCACCGTACAATTCAAACATCGGACTTCTAGAGAGACTACACGACTTCCTGGTGGCTTTGAGAGATCGTATACGACATGAGCACCTGCAATACAACATGATTTATGTTTGATGATCTTATGATGATTTCACGAAGCTCTAATTATTCACATTAAAGCTGCATGCCTCCTGAAGAGCCAAAATATTCAAGAAAACGAAATTTCAGAAAATTGTATCAAGATTTAAATAAAAAGTAAACTGTTTCTAAATTTAAGTTATAATTTACTTGCTATGTGCGATTTATTACTATTTACTAGTATTTAGTAGTATTTATCTCCATATTTCTACTGCTTGACTAAATAGTAATGGCTACTTTTGCATATTTTGACCTCTCTTTAGTAAAGTACGTGGATTGTAAGCAGCCAATAACACGGAGTCTGGTCAGTGTTCAGGGAGGTCTGGCTCAATGCCATTGCGCTTCTAGCTCTTAACGAGTTTGAATTATTACATAAATTTCTGATAAGTAATAGATTAAAGTTGCTCCTTCTGAGGTCAAAAAAACCTAAAACATGAAATTTGATTTTACATAAATCCAGTAAAGCACTTAAAATGGACAACTATGCGAAGGGTAATAAAATAATTAACTCGGAATTAAATTGAAAATCGATCCTTACAGTCAACGCATTATACAACTTTGTTATACTGAAAAATACACAAAAGCGCGGTTTTCTTTAGTACGGAATCAGCTTTAAAAATGTATCCAACCTGACATTTGAAAGAAAGCCCCAGGTCTGTCATGTCGGTCATATTTTGCTACAGAATGTTCGAAAGCTTGTCGTAAAATAGAGCCATTCAGTTTCACCATGTCGACAACATTACCAAATGGTTGTACTGAGAGCACCTGACCCATTGATATATCCCCTGAAACAAGCAATGAAACTATACACTTCGTCATTATTATTTATACTAAGAATAATGGTTTTAAATATATTCATATAATAGTTGACGTATCAAACATTAACTTGAATGGAATATAATGATTTTGAAGACGTGGAATAGATATATATATAGATAAAACAATCTGATGCTACGCTGTTAATCTTCTATTTGATTTCAAATATAATGTTCTATAAAACATTGTTTAAAATATATTTTCTTTGTCTTGCATGGGCCTATTTAATGAGGAGCATTAGTGCCAGGTGTATGTTTTTTTATTAACTCGAAATTTCGAGTTACTAACTCGAAACTTCGAGTTACTAACTCGAAATTTCGACTTAATTATCTCGAAATTTCGACTTACTAACTCGAAATTTCGACTAATTAACATTACTAGAATGGCCAAATTTATGAGTTACCAAGAGTTTAGATAATATTAGATATAGTAGGGAGTGCGGTTGAACGATGGGGTGCCTGGACAAACTATTAAAGTTGAATTTTAACTAAGTAATGGCATGTACATGCCCGACCTAAAAAAAACACAAGGCTTCCTTTAATGTGTACGTTCAGGCGTTCTTCAGACGTTGTATTGTATCCTACATGTTCGACCATATCTTTTCACTTATCATATTCTTCTCATCCATGTGAATAAAACGATCCTATATACTTCGCGTGTGGGACATCTGAGGAAAGTATCGCGGAGTGACCAAAATAGGGGTGCTGGGGCCTTTGTCAAATTTGTTGGACTGACTATATTTCTTGTAAAATCGGATGCTTTTATATTATTCCCAACATGTATATAACAACAAGTTCCACTTTCAACAAAATATGAATCAAAGTCTTAGTAAATAATGAATAATGTTACAAAAACATTGTTAGTATAAAGAAACGTGGCAGACTAACTGGCGTATTCACGCCATTTAAAACTTATTTAACACATGATTTTACATCTCCACAAAAAAGCGAAGGATATGTTCAGTATGTGTGGACAATTTGACCCTATCAAATTTTTCTGTTAAATACATAGGTGCTCTGTCAATGCGCAACAGCTACAAACGAAAGAAAATATTTGAATTCAATCCTTGCTTTCACCGGTAACCAATGAAAGTCGTGCAATATAAGTCGAAATTTCGAGTTAATAAGTCGAAATTTCGAGTTAGAAAGTCGAAATTTCGAGTTACTAGGTCGAAATTTCGAGTTAATTAGTCGAAATTTCGAGATAAGTTACTCGAAATTTCGACTCAATAACTCAAAATTTCGACTTATTAACTCGAAATTTCGAGATAAGTAAGTCGAAATTTCGAGTAAGTAACTCGAAATTTCGAGTTACTAACTCGAAATTTCGAGTTAATGAAAAACATACACCTGGCACTAATGCTCTTCCGTACCTATTCGAAGCAAATAAGACAACAGAGGTTTAATTCGAAATGATAGCCTGAAACTCTATTCAATGAACAAGAATGTGATAAATGTACCTGGTTCGGTGGACGCTCGAATACCTCCCCCGGACAGTAGTGCTATAGACGCTAGTGCCCATGTATCATTAGACTGTCGTTTGTCTATATGATATTCTACCATTGAATCCGTCAGAAGATTACCTGTATATTGACATAAAGACTTTAAAGACTTCAATCATTTACCATGGAAACAATGAGCCCTCGTCTGTTTGAAAACTTTTAGTTAGCTACTTTTTACTGACAACTTTGCAAGTTTTACTTACTTGTGTTTACAATTACATCTATGATAAAGTAATTTATAATAGTTCAGCTGTACAATGTGTTAGAGCCTATATAGTACTAGTATGTGTCACGAAATAGTTTGCATAATTCATAAAGTAGGATACTCCTAATGTTCATTTCCTGGTTGTTAATTAGCTCTAAGGTTATAACACTCCGTGTTTATAAACAATCAGCGCATTTAATCTTCTTTAGGACATTGACTTCATGCGACGAAGAAAGAAAATAGAAGAAAAAAACTAACCAGAGTTACATTCCCTCAGCCTACACTGAATGGGATCACCCTCAAGTTTGACAACAGTCCTCCCAACAATCTGAGCTTTCATTGCTTCTAGCGGTTTCTTCATTTCATTTATAACATTCAACGTCTCTTGGTCTTTGAAAAGAAGAACACATATAAAATCTTCTCATTAGTATAATTATAATGTTCAGTAAGCGTATAAAGCTGTCATCACTGTGTTAATATACAAACTCAAGGGCTTCTATCGTTTGAATGTTTTGTGGGGTTCTTTTTTTTTTTTTGGGGGGGGGGGGGGGGTGAGGGTTAAACAATAAAAAGACGAAAAAACCACTACTTGTAAAAAGAAATACATACATCATTTCTGCTACACATAAGATACATTAAATCGTGAAATAAATGTTAAAAATTAGCAACTGAATGGTCCAATTAAAAACATTTCAGTGTCTAGAAATTGTGAAAAGGGTCAGATTCTAATTAAATTGAGATAACTTTCCGGTAACATTACATAAGTAAATACATATGAATTATCTAAAGTGAATAAGGTTAACGCTGCAGAAATAGAAATATGAGAGCAATCGGTTGAAACCGGAAAGTTAGTTTTGAGCATGATTGCATATCCAGCATGTACAGAATTATACTCAATGGACATCTGTTCAACTTTATAAAACTTTAAATATGCAGCGCAGACCTACCCTCTAGAACTGCCATATGTAGTTATCAATATTGAAACATATAAAAACGTAGATGCATTTCCAACATACCTTGGAGGATACTTTTATCTAACAGAACTGGCGAACCAGACCAAGATTTAACTTCAAAGTCATCATCAAAAGTCACGTTAATAAAGCCCATATATTTGCCCCATGCATATGCCTGAACAACAGGTACTTTACGTCCACTTGTTTGATTTATTATCGTAGGATATGGACCCTCTATCTCTTCTTTGGATGGTTTTTCTCCTACAATTGCATGTGAAATCTAAAACCTTTGTTCTTGCTTTTTACTTAAATCATTGTCTGTGTATTAAGTAGAAAAAAAATGAATTACGCTACGTTATATAAATGGAAAAATTAGTTACACTCGTCGTTAAATGGAATGATTTCTGACGTAGTTGTTACTTACAAGCAAAGTGACTTTATATTGTTAATATTGATTAACAATATGTCGTTTTCAAGATGAATGAAAGCACCAAAGTATTATTCGAACATCTGTTTAGTATTGAACCTGGTATAAATAAAATGTACCTGTATATAAGAAAGTATGCGAATGTCCGCCAACTATGACATCAATATTGTCCACTTCTCTTGCAACCTTTTTATCCATGCCGTACCCGGCGTGACTCAAACCGATAATAACTTTAACCCCTGCGTCTCTTAACTTGTTTGCTTCCTTTCTTACGGTTGTGACTTCATCTTGAAACTGAACCGTGTCTCCTAAATGGATCAAAACAATATATCATATTCTAAATGGGAATACTTTTTTTTCGCAATTTTAAAAAAGGAAATCAGAAATATTAGAAATCCGGACTTATTTACTCATTTAAATAGTGAGCGGTAGATTAGAGGTTTATTTATCGTTTATGTATTTTATCGTCTGCAAATTGCATTTTCCACATACATGTAATCCTTTTAATCTGACTGTTATATGAAACGATCAAACTAAAAATAACATATTTAACCTTTAGAAAAGCTGAAGGCTGCTTTAAACCCGGATATATAAAAAACAAATTTGTTTTCTTTATATCGCAAAACAGATCACCTGGGAAAAGCTAAAAGACGAGTTTCGTCGGATAATATACGGTTGTGTTAAACACTTACAAGAAAATCATTGATGCAAAGCATCAAAGGGCGACGCCAAAAGAATTTGATCCAGATTTGCACCTAAATACTTAACAAAAGATGTGTACTTTATAGCAGTACCATTACATATGACCTGGAGGCTAGGGCCAGTTTAAGTTGAAACTTAAACCAAAAAAGAATAGACTTTGTCTTGCCAAGATGCAAAGACAATTTATAGTCAATTAAGCAATCTTATAAGACTCATGCTATAAGAAAGAATTTCTTCAGATTTATTTTATGAGACACAAGGATTCCTGAGTCATCAGCATATAATCACAGGCACGAGTATCGGACCTGGGAAGAAAAAATATGACCAGATGACCAGATTGATAAAAAAAACTGTGTTTATAAAAACCAAAAAAAAAATGTAAATAATGATCCCCTTTAAAAATATACTATCAACTTGAAGTATATTTTTAAAGGGGGTCATTATTTACATTTTATTTTGGTTGTTGACACTTTTAAGATGAACACAGGTTTTTTTATCAATCTGGCCATATTTTTTCTTCCAAGGTCTGATACTCGTGCCTGTGCATTATAATAAAAGCTTACTGCTTAGGGTTGAAGACATGTAATTGACATATATTAGACATAAAAGAGGACCTAAAATGAACATCAGGGGGACAGCATAGGTACTCAGAGCAGTAGTAGAATGAGTACCAGCCACATCAACCAGCTACTATCAGAGATAAGACTTAAACCATGTAAGAATGTCATTATATATGGCAGATGCTTGAAGTTTCATGAAGAAGAAGAAAAACAACTTCTTCATGTGCAGTATAGTGTGTTCAACTGTATCAAATGCCCTTTGTAGATCTAAAAGTATCATACAATACTGCCTTTGTCCATTTCAAATAATGCAATCTGTTAAATGAATCAAACATGTGTCAATTGAAAAACCACTTCTAAACCCTGACTAAAACTGCCTGACCATGACTCGAACCCATGACTTTCAGAAGACCAACTGAGCTATCCGGCCTGCTACACATTTTCTCTTTAATAATGAAACAGTTCTAAACCACAACATATTTCCCCACTATATCGATTTGTGTTCGTGAATTTCTTATGTTACAGAGCATAGGAAATTGAACTCATGCTTATATGCAGTCACAGGATGAGAAAAACTTTGAGCTTGACCAGAACTCAAACCTGTGACCAACATAAGAAATTTTATGAAGGCTGATTTGTATTTTGCATCAAGGGCACCGGGCAAAAACATGAAAATGCAACAAACAAACCACTTTGTGGTAGATTGTATTTTCATGTTTTCATCTGGCGCCCAGTTACTTTTTGTACTATGTTGGTTTTCATGTGGCACAAATCACCCTCTATAAATTTAGTGCACAAATTTATTCAAGGGCAAGTAACAATCTACTCTATGTACAGTCTGTTGTCGGGTTGACTCAGAAGACCTGGAGGTTGAGACCGGTGTCCCTTCATTACAAATAGATAAGACAGAAGCTGTTCTTTTCAAACTATGCACATGTTAGAAAAAAAATAGAATAACTATTCAGAATATGATTTTTTGAGACTTTATTAATTATATTGATTGATCCAAGTTTAAGGACATTTTCAATCAATACATGTTTTATCATTTATAACTTTAAATGAAAGTCTCATCCCTTTAATAATAATGACATAACTGTATCTCTTTAAATGCAGAAAAATTATCTCAAAAGTCTCAACATATCAATATACTACTGTCTAAGATATACATGTATGCACATAACATTAATAATTCCCAGTTTATATTAAATAAATATGAAATCCTAACATTGACATTAACATGCTTTTGATGACCTTACAACTGGTGAATTATATACAACAAAAATAGTATTATAAGTAATACCTAAGATAGACAGAAAAGAACAAATAATTTAGTAAACATGAGTTACTTCCCCTTACAATAAAGAAAACCTGAAACCCAAAAGAACACCCTAAACAGCAAAATTATGAAATGCTGCAGGTTCAGTTTTATCAAGCCATGCAAATTAATGGTAAAGTATTCATAAAAAAATAGATGGCCATGTGTCAGCAGTAATTGCAGAAAATCGGATAGCTTTCAACATCCGGATACTGGTACACTTTGTAAAAACAACCATTCTGCGCAACAGATAAATGTAATAAGGATAAAATCAATAGGATAATCGTTTACAACAGTTCCATTACCTATCCTTATACTCAATTGCAGGTGAACTTTCTTCTTGTAGGAAAATTTTGAAAATGTATAAATGAATGAATGAACTGATACGGCCTCAATCTAGACCACAACGATATTCGAAATCCGGGTTTTAGTATTGTCATTAAAACTAAGGGACAATCTGTTAAACTTAACCTGTAATTTCGTGAAAATAATATCACAATGCACATGCTTTTTACATAAAGTTATTAAATACAAATATAACAACACATTTGTTTACTTGATTTTTACGAATCAAAATAAAACTAATTAACACAACATGAAATTAACTGCTAATAATAACAGCTCCTTCCATAGGCAAAAATAAAAAGCGTTCCATAATAGACGACGCCGCTCACCGGCGTCGCCAATGAAACCGACAAAAAAGTCCAAATACATAAAAAAAAGATTTATAGAGCTTTCTGTGAGTTATGAAAATGTAAGTATACGTGAGAAATATCAAAAACATGTAAACTTTGATGTTTTGCTGTATAGTAAATGATACAAGAGCAGCATCTTCTATTCAGCATTAATGAAGCAACAGTTTTTGACAAATATAAGAAATAAGCAAATAAATCTACAAAAGTTTAAACCTGCGTTTGATATGAACGCTGTGTCTGTAGTAATGTAACCAATCAGACCGATTTTGACTCCGCCTACTTCTTTTATCATTGTAGCGTTAAATAGACCTTGTAATTTCTCTTCTCTACTGACGTCAATGTTTGCATCTATTACCGGCACAGTAAGATTTTTAAGGTAAGGAGCCAACCCAGCTACACCTCGGTCAAATTCGTGATTCCCTAGACACTATCAAATTAAAAGATAGAGTCAAGTCAAATATCTTAGTGTCAAAAACAAATACATGTTCATTGCCAAGTATTTAAATTTAAAAAAATGAATTTATGATGATTTTAGATATGGCATGTATGCAGTAGTCCCGCCTCGAAAATGCTTAGTCGTGAAAACACAAAGATATAAAAGTCAAACTTTGAATCTGTTTTGCATTTTAGAGGCGAACATACAAAAGGCCGATAAAAGAACTGTTCCACTACAGGACATATGACCTAAATGTTAATAGGAAAAGTGGAAGTTGTCGTATTTTCGTTTCTCTTTATCGCTTATTGCTGCATTATTGCTTTGTAGCGTATCTAAGTTCCTGGTGCGGAACGCATTTATAATTTTACATGAATTAACTTATAAAATGATGGCCCTATTTTTTTTAATTGATCCAGCATGGATACAGAAATGAAATAAACTAAAGTGCAATGTTCCACATAGAAAGTAATAAGTCGACTATTCACCAAAATATATAAATGGCAACATTATTAAAAAACATACAACGGCATCATAATTTTCCATGTTGACAAACTTCGCGGCAGCCTGACCTTGATATTTGTTGAACCAAAGCGTTCCAGTAAATCTGTCGCCAGCATCTAACACTAGTGTGTTCTTATAATGTGCCCGGGCATCTGAAGATATTATTCACACAATCATGAACTATTAACAATTGTAATGCCTGGTTCAATATACAAAGGTTTCGATAAATGTTTGGCTGATTCTAATATTTTTTCAGATGCTGTGAGATCATTGTAAAAATCCAGATAAGGAAATAAAATCATGTTACTGACTGAATGCTTGATTTTTCTTTTTCTGTTAAAATGCGAAACATTTGAAGGATAAATGAAAGAGTTCAAATATAATACATTTGAAATATTGAAATAGCTCTGTAATATTTTTTCTATTATTTTAGAAATCTAGTATATCTTAAATGTTTTTTTGTTTTTTTTATTTAATCATATTCATTTACTATCTTTAGGAAATATAAAAGCGCTATGTTCACCAAGCACGAAATGTCTCCATCTTAGATATTTATAAAAATCTAAAGAAGCGTCAATTTGATAGGTAGTTGATTACTCCCAATCCACTACTACCTACCGGCAGGTAGTTAGTAATTCGAACTTTGCATGTTTCCCTTAAAAAACAGCAACAAAAAACAACAAAAATAAACAGTAAGAATTTTTCCGGAATAAATATAATGGATAGATGTGTTTTTCAACATTGAAACACATTGTCTCACTATGTCCACCAGCGGAATCAGTTGGCTATAGTACAATATGCTGACCAGTTAAACTTATAGTAGGATCTGCTGTTAAGTTAATCTTAAAGTGAAAATTGTTGACTACTTATGTTAGATATATAGAAAAAATTATGTGTTGACGTAAATTTCTAATTACATGTATCTTTATTTACAATGTTAGTAATATAATAAAAATTAATTATAAATAAATTATACATCTTACAAAACGATAAAACCACTGATGACGAATTCAATGGAATTATCAATATAATTTGTTTGTCCTTTTTATACAAGTAATAAACATTTTATTACATTTTCCGTCCATGTATAACTCTTTCAGTATTTATATATTAAATGTTTCTTATTATTGATTTATAATTATAATTTAACATTATTAGTATTCAGAAAAGAAAGAAACAAAAAAAAAGAAAAAGGAAAAGAAAAAAACAAGAAGAAAAAGATTTATTGACAAAAGTAAATTTATCCCATATTCTATACCGGCAGCGTATTCGCCAGCAGTTTAGAACCGTCCACTAGAAGGCGAGTGTCGACAATGCGATAACACGATGGCGACAGTGCGACAATGCGATGACGACAGTACGACAATGCGACAGTGTGACAGTGCGATGGCGACAGTGCGATAACACTGTCGTCATCGTACTATCGCGTTATCGCATTGTCGTCATCGCACTGTGGCATTGTCGTCATCGCACTGTCGCATTGTTGTAATCGCACTGTCGCATTGTCGTCATCGCACTGTCGAACTATTAAAGTATAACTATTAACGTGTAACCACGATGGCACTAACGGTATTCCGTAATTTTCCCTTTTTGTTGTCGCTTATCTCCTTTGATACAATATTTAATTGAAATCTTATCTTTTTCAAGGGCAGTTATATATAATTACAAAGTTTTGCATCAGGTAATGCATAAAGCAAGCGAAATATTTGACAACACTTGAGATTGTACGTTTTTTGTTGTTTTTTAACGAATTGAGATAATATTTCAAGTGTATCTTTCGTATAAATTGCAAAGCAGCCAAAATAAACGACCTGTAACAACGATTGTTAATAATAAAAACATTCGGTAGCAATAAGGGTATGTTTACATTTAAATTCCTATGCAACCAAGAAATGTAATTTTGAACGTCAAAAGTGTTTAATTTTGTTCTATAATGAGTACCTAATGCATATACATGTACATCTTCAAAGTACTATGCACTAAATTATACATTACATTCCATGATAATTAAGTATACAAGTTTTATATTAATTGTTTGTAAAATTTATGAATTCATTATTTAATATACATGGACATTGTACTTGCAAACGGAGTGAGTTCAATAATTCAAAATGTTATTTGGTATGAATTAATTATTACTTAGAGTTCAGTATTAATTAATAGCGTGCCGCAGTTCAATATCCATTTATTCGAATAAAATTGAAATGGGAATTTGGCAAAATATAAAAACAAAAAATGCAGTTTATCTTACGTGCCCATAGATATCATTGAAAGCAAAAACATAATTATACATGCATGAATGGTTTAAAGCTGCACGGCTCCAGATGAGCCAAAATATTTCACGAAATTCAATCTTTAATAAGGTAAAAAGATTCAATATCTAATTAATTATATACATGTTATAAGCGATAAATGACTGATTTTGCAGTATCAATTACTATAATTCTACGCAGTAAGAGGTATTTATGTATATTTTGACCTCTTTTTGCTACTTAACGTGCATGGATTGTAAGTGCCGTTTGCAATGTGCAAAATTACTGTCTTTGTTCGCCTCACAGTATTTTACTTTTAAATACATTTTCAAAATTTTAATGAAAATAAGCATGAATCTGGAGCCATGCTGCTTTTATGATAATCGTTCGTTTGTACCAGTGAAATACATGTGAGTGAACGTCATGTAATACAATTGGCGTCCCCAGCGATATACAAGATATATATGAGCCGCGTCATAACAAAACCAACGTAATGCGTTTGCGACCAGCATGGATCCAGACCAGCCTGCGCATCCGCGCAGTCTGTTCATCATCAATGCTGTTCGCTTACAAACCCTATTACAAGTAGAGGAAAGCGAACAGCACGGATCCTGATCAGACTGCGCGGATGCGCAGGCTTGTCTGGATCCCTGCTGGTCGCAAACGCATTGCGTTGGTTTTGTCGTGACGCGGCTCATATTTATTTACATTTTCAAAGTTATGAATTTGTTTTCAAATAAAGATTGGTAAATGAATATACCTTTGATGAATTGATTGCGCCTGGCTTCTCCACCATAACATTTACCTTCTCTTGCCTGTCCGTCTGTACATTCCCCCGAGTACACGTTAATCTGGTCAAAATGCGCGTGCACGTCATTGTTATGAACAATAGTCAACGTAAATTCACCATTCAAGGTATCTATGAATGCAATAATTCCATATACGTAAAATGCAATATGTTTATATGTCAACATCCTCATTATTAGAGCATCAAGGTGTATTCGATAAGTTGCAGTGACATATAGAATGTTATGATATCTCTTTACTCTTATCGCGTTATATAAACTAGTAGTTGTATGCCACTTAGTGCGAGAACAATTCAGATATGAATTAAATAAAATATACTTGAAAGGTAATAACCGTATATACTCGTATGAAATGTACAAATTTAACACGATATCATTCAAACTAAGTTAAATACGAATTATGTATAGTCATGACGTGTATTCAAAATGGATTGTTAACTAAAACGTATTTATTTCTATGTTTGTCGCCAACCAACCTTCTCCCGACCAATTACTTGCTTTGTACTATTAGTACATTATATGTTACGTTTTTAAACAATTTATTTTTGTACCTTGTTATTTTCAAAAAAGGTTATTATATGCCTACATACATGCAATACTATGTTTATCAACCAAAAGATTAGACCAGCTTTCGGTTTTGATACATATTCATGTGTGTAAATTGTAAATATCCATTGGTTGCCATGATTCGGTACTCTATAAATTTTTACAGTGTTACTTTGATACTGTATTGAAATTTGGCAGATACTATGGTGGCCGATTGCGGCCATTTCAAACCCGCGCTGTATCATAAAATGTCGCGGGCAACTTACAAATCCGCGAGATTTTCTGCCAAAATCTTACAAAATGTCGCGGGGAACGTATAAAACACTATATTTTACAAGTACAAATGTTGCTGCAATGCAGCAATTGAGAAGCTCCGCGCAAAAAAAAATGCGCTCATTACAGATACCATACCAAATTATTCCTACGCACAGGTCATGTTATATTCAGATTAAGTACTATTGTAGATTTTTCCGAATGTTTTGTGAACCATTTTTTTGCATAATTATACTTATCTTATGCACTGTCCATAATTAAAAAGAGGGGGCAGATATTTCATTTGAAAAAATGCTTTCACTGATGCCTACCTGGTAAGGAAAGTAATTCCATTGAATACAAACAAGACTTACAAGACTTGTGAATGTTATGTGACATGACTGTACTGTGTTCTGTTTGTGTCACTACTGTAGTCAGTAACATAAGATGATAAAATATAAAAGTATGTTTTTATTATTATTATCATTGTAACAAATATACAAATAGTTACAAAAGGGACTTATATTATAATATAGTAATATTACATGCATTTTTAATGTCAAATTAAAAAAAATGCTTTATTTCAATACTGATAGAAGACTGTTACCTGAATTTTAGGCAGGTATGAGGAAATTCACTATGCGAGTCAAAGATATAAAAGCTACTTGACATTGGTGATATATAAAAAGCTATTGTTAATTGATTTATTGGGAATAAAACCATTCATAAAATAAAACAATACACCTCATGTTGAAACTGCATATCTATATATAGTCTATGTTTAATGAGGGTCCTTCCGCCCGTACGGGCACAATATGCAGCTTTCGCTTTCGAGTACGGACCCCCGGACATGTCACCAGTCATGCCCTTAAAGAGTTAATTTTAAAGCACAGAGTGTTGATAATTTACCTCCGTGCAAGGCGTGCATTACTAATATTACTACAGAAATGTAACATTATATACTAAAGTTATAATTATTTCAAAACAACCAATATATCAACATGTTATTATTAAACATTTAGTTTCATAAATATAAATTAAGAATAATTATCAAAAGCAAAATTATTAAAGTCTTATGCCTGAAATCTTCTTTATATTGACAAATTCAATCACTAATAGTATACTTGAAATGCTGTGTGTAAATGTAATTCAAAATGTAACAAATTATAATTTCATGTACTACTAAAAAAGGGAAATAACAAATTTATTACTAAGTGTCAAAAATCAGAACATTAATAGCTATTTCTAGCTTTCGAATTCATGTACAGCAGAACTGCTTTCCGGTTCTCATTAATTAATATGACACGCTGCGAATCACCGAAGGGGGAACCAATATAAAAATCGAAAGGAGTTATTAAATCCGAATTTATTTTTAGCTGTAAATCGAAGGGATTAATTGTTAAAATCCGAGCCCATGGACAAAAAAAAATAGTAAACACAAATAGCTCCGCGCCTGTGGGCGCGGAGCAATAACAGTTGTTAGAAACAGCAAGATACATTTTGACTTCAGTGACCGGTAGCGTCCATTGTTTGACTACATTTTATCCCTCGTTTGCCTAAAAAAAGTCGAGAAACAGAAAATAATCCGCGACATTTTTTGCAAGTGTTGAAGAAATTCTACAAAAGTCGAGGGGAGAATTATAGGCCGCGACTTTTTATTTCTCAACGACTTTTCCATAAAAAAGTCGCGAATGTTTTAACAGCGACTTTTTGTATAAAATCCGCGACTTTTTGGACGCGACTTTTTGCGCAGAGACATTCCCCGGACTGAATGCTCAAACTCGACTTTTACAAGGTATGCATCAACACAAAATATTTCGGATTGTAATGGCCGCAATCGGCTAGTTATAGTAGGCATATGTTTGCGTGTCTTAGTCTACTATGTAGACAGAAAATGTCGCGGTTTGTTTCGTAAAATTCGACTTTTTATGACAGAAGTGTGACAGAAAAACTTGAGAGTTTCTATAAGCCGCGATATTTTATACAATTTCGACATAAAATATCCCGGACGAGACTTTTTATAAACTGACTGACGGTAAAATTTCTCGCGGCTTTAAAATGGACGCTATCGGCCACCATAAGATACATTAAAATAAACTGTGATGATTATAAATATCCACATGTTTTCTTTCCGCACGTCTGATAAGATTTTGTGACATGAACAGAAATGGTGTTAACAATAGGACAGGGTCAAATGTAGGATACAATTAAGACTAATACAATTACATTTTTAACACTGCTCATGAAGTTTGGTTTTGTTTGATTTGGTTTGACACAATTAAGGTCATATTGCGCCGAAACTGAAAAGATGATTTTGCTAACCTCGGGTTACAAAAGCTCATGAAGTTAAACATTGATAGGGCATTCAATATTCAATCATCGTGCCCGTGAATTTTAAAGTCACAACAGTAGCTTTGGCTGCTGTAAAAAAAGATTGACCGTATATCCCAATGCTTTTCTATTCAATCGTTAATCTGACATATAAATTATTAATAACTTTTGAACACATGTGCGATGATGAGCTTCTATATGTTATGTTTAAACTTCTTTAAATGCCAGTCCGAGACTCCTATCATGTTAACCAGAACTGTCGTTCTTGTCTTTTTGTAAATTATAACTTGGGTAATGTATTGTATTTGAGAAATGATGTAAACATTTAATTGACGTTTTAGTGTTAATAGACAAATAGTTTATTGGATTAAACTTGTGAGAAACCTTGAAAGATATGGAAACTGAATACACAAAAAATAAATAATTTAATAATTTGCTTAGGAATGTACACGAAGCAGTATACATTATATATGACTAAGAAAAAAATAGAACGTCAATATATAAGTCCTCAAAATATATTAACATTTAAACATATATCATGTATAATTATAAATATTATTCATTTTAACCTATATAGCAACTTTTATTTGCAACTTGCTTTTTGTAGATTTTTTTGTTGTAAAGAAAATATTTTTAATAACAATCTGTGAAAATCTGTGTTTCCTATCCTTCCTTCCTTAAAGGAACTCCATTGAGGCTTTTAAAATCAAATTTTATGAATTTAGGCTATTAGACCTTAGTGGAGTTATTTTAATATTTGTAGTTATGGTTTTACGTGTTTATGATTTGGCTCTTAATATATTTGATATAGATCATATTTTCATGTGTTTAACTTAGTTTTGACAAAAAAACTTTATTCTCACAACATCAGGTGTCAATTGCTATGTGATAGGCAGTCGTAAAAAGTTGCCTTCAACTTCATCTTATTTTTGTACTATTTTTTCTAGTCCTTAGGGATCATTGATTCCAATAATTTGAGTGTTTAGGATTGAATACTGCTTAAGGCGATGCTACGGAGCGTGAAAAATCTCATATGAACAGTCTCAATAAAAAAGAGTTTGAAATGTCAAATATGTGTACTTTGTCCTTGTTCTTCATTGCTAACGAGGAAACTCCTTTCCAGAATTTTGTAACTTTAAGTAACTTTAGTTGGCTTTGATTCGTCATTAACTTTAAAATGCATTTTTATAAAAAGATATTAATTTTTCAATGCTATTAAATTTTACTTTTAAATGTTGATTTTTCAATTATGCTCGAGATATTTAAGGCATGCACGTTTAAGTCATTTGATATATTGTAACAACCGTGATAAGTCTCCGTGAACCAGTTTTGGTAATTATCACCTACTTGCAGTTTAATTAATTAGTGAACCCAAACTTAACGCACCACCAGTGCTCGTGTAATTTGCACGTGTACTTGTGTATTTGTTATTAAATGCATCAATGTATGTTTAAATTTATACATGTAATATGAATGCTTTGAAAAAAAACAATAGTTTGTAATAAATCATTTTGTATTAGAAAGGTAAATATGAATAATATATATCAAACCAAATGTTTAATTTTTATGATCGTATTTTCAATCTCACTGCATTTAATGTATGCAGTATACATGTGTATTGACGATAAACTGTTTTCTTCACGTCATATTGTTTAACAAAATCTGTTCCGTTCTGCTCTGTAATTTTAATTTGACGGCTTTATAAGTTATAGTACATAATAACAACAAGCTGTTTTCTTTTTATAAATTTTTATATCTAACTTTGTCAATAAAAAATGAAGCATGCAATATTTGGTCTTGCAAAAACATTGTAGATTTTAAACAGTTGTTTCTATCCTTTAAGCTCTGCATTCTTGATCATCTAGTTCACCCCGTCTAAATCTGTATATAAAAATAACGACATAGTATACTCTCAAGGTAAAATAGGAAAAACAGAATCCCTAAAACAAAATCGAAAATGCTGCATGCTCGGTTTGATTGAGCCTGTTAATAGACAATACTGGTAAGTGCAAGTTACCGTCCACCCCCCCTAGCACCGACTAAAGCAGAATTCAACATTTAAACACGAAAATGGTGAAATTTTGAATTTAGAAACTTCCGCAGATGTGTTCATACGGCTGTTTTTTTAATGGAACCTTCAATTTGACACAGTAGTATCATTCCATGAAAAGCGGCGTCTGGTCTCAAAGTAAATGAATGCGTGTGCCCTAAACGAGATAACAATGGACGGAACTAAATACTTAGTAAAATGGAATTTT